CCCCAAAACCCCAAAACCCCAAAACCCCAAAACCCCAAAACCCCATTTTACAAATATAATATTGAGATTTAATTAAAAATTATTTAAAAATATTAAAATTTAAGAAAATGAGTGGAATTAGGAAGAGACTTTCCTCTTATATTACAACTCCTAAGAACAAAAGAGGGAGAAACAGGAGAAAACTAACAGCCAGCAGCACCAGGTAATTTAGATTTTCCTTATCTCGAGTTTTTGAAAGCTAATCGGACCAATTTTTAGGAAAAAGAAAGAACAAAAGCTTAAAATTCAGCAGACAGATTTTCAGAACTACCAACCTACTGTAAGAATGCAGCCTTAAGACTTTAGCTGATGGAAGACAGCTTGAAGGATATCATCCGTAACTATTTATCTCTTAACCTTATAGTTGGTAAAAAGAATATGGTATTTGATAATTCCTGAAACCATAGCCTACCTTTGGATACCCCTTAATGAATTTTGACCAGGTTGGAAGTGAGTCTAGCAAAACTAGCAAAGCTAGCCAAGCCCATAATAGGAATGCGAAAATTCAAAACGTAAGTTTTCAAAAATTTAATCTAATTTTGGCCTTTAAGGACAAACAAGAATACTCTTTGCTAGAACTTCTGTATACTCATGCAAAGCAAAAATAAAATGATGAGTAAGAGGCTTTAAGTCTAATTACAGGTGATGTGTATACTGGATTTACTAGAGGAGTGCCTCTGAGACGCGTGAGTCCAAATGATTCTAAAAATAAGGAAAACTCTGTTCCTCCTCAAAACAGCAAGCAAACAGATTATTTTCATGGAAATCTAAAGTTTAAAAATAATTATAGAATGTCAGTAATGGCTCCAGAGGTATCAAAACCTGTTTCGAAATACTCGGAAAATCTTAAAATATCCATAGGCCCACTACTAAAGCCAAAAAGGATGAATTATTCCTAATAACACATTAACAGTGCCTTCTGAATCACCTCATATTGTTAAGAAAGTTCCTCAGAATCCTGATAATATTCAAATAATTCTCCAAACTCCTAAATTTCCTGAAGAAGATGTCAAGACATCAATTCGGCATCTTCCGGTGACTAAGACAGAAGACTGCTTCAGTTCAAGGTTGAAGCCTCGAGAGCGAAGGAACTCTGAGCATAATGTGAGCGGTCAAACAACGAAACGTATGTTTATTAATTACCTTTATGAACATGTGTGCTAACCTTTTCTTCAGGACTCCAGAAGACAACCAAAATGATGAGTAAGCATCTCTTGATTCTCCTAGGCGCCAAGTTCGACCTGAAGAATAACTTCCTCAGCATCAAAGTATTTAGGTAATGACTTAATTTAGAAACCGAAAAATTCGGGAAAAAGGAAAGTAAAAGTGAGATTTCTATGGTTTCTTATGTCACAAGTTTTAGTCCTATATGCGAAAAGAATCTATGAATACGCTACAAGATGAAGGAAATGGGGATGAAGAGTCCTCTCTCATTGAACTCTCCTCGATCTCTAGCTGCAGCTTTGGCTCTTTGGAAGGACTTAACAAATCAGATCGAGCTTCAAAGGTTCAAATGCTGTCTAAAGCAGTCTTGTGAAGGGATCCTCAGCTTATAGTAATATTTTTCTTCAGCACTATTTGCAAAAGCTAACTGAATTTATTTTTTTAGACCAATTTAGACCAAGTTTTAGACCTCAAAAAGAAACAATTCAGGGACCAACTTGAGAGAGATGACTTCTTGAAGCTAAAACAGAGAAGGATAAGGATCATATAAGCGTATTTTTGAATATTATCACTAGAGTGACAAACTTGAAGCAACTTTAAAATCTCAGTATCAGAAGAGCAATGCGAAAACCCCTATTCCTTTAGAAGCCATGGATGTTTCATTGAGTATTCAGGATGTGACTCAGGCACTCAGAGGGACTCCAAGCGTAATGAATGCTTCATTAGATCACCAGAAGCAATTAACTAGCCTCACTGGTCAGAATAGACTGCAGAGTTTGATTACAGGAAATTTAGGACTAATATTCTCAGAAAGAGAGGCCATGAAGCCTGCCTCTGAAAGAATGAGAAAGCCACATGCTTCAAGGTCGACTGGTGTGGACAGCTACAGAAAGTCTTTGAACTGCAGCAATTTCTCATTCTACATTGAAAGAGAATCTATTAAACAGAAGAGAGTCATAACTCAGTCATTGAAAAGAAGGAAATTCAATGATTTTAGACGATTTTTAGCAGAATCTCCTGCTATTGATGAATGAGGCAGTCAGAAAAGTAGGAAAGGACATCAAACACTTGAGAGAAGTCCAGAGTGAGGGTTTCAGAATATTTTTAAAAGTCCTTTGGTAAGTTAAATAGAGTGATTAGAGAATGTCAAAAAATAGAGTTAGGATTTGCTTTAGAGACATTTTGAGAAATTTGAAGGACTTATAAATGATATTTAAGTGGTAAACTAAGCCTTTTAGACAACAATGAGATTTTTGAGAAAGAGTGTAGATCATGCAAATGTAAAATTAAACAAGTATTGAATATACTCATACCAATAGAGATCTAATGACCAGCCAGCAAACTACCCAAGTTGATAACATTAAGTAAGTTATTTCTCAGATCAAAGGGTATTTACCTTCTATTCAAGGATCATAATCCTCATAATTCCTCTAGAGAACTTAAACACAAGCGTCCCGATCCTTATGAATATTGTCCAAAAGCTAGGCTTGGATTAAAGTCTAAATTAATATTATAGCTTGATTGTCAATATTCCTAATAAAATTTGGGGTTTTGGGGTTTTGGGGTTTTGGGGTTTTGGGGTTTTGGGGTTTTGGGG